ATTCAGCAAGGCCAGAGCTACAAATCAAACTTGCATTTTGTTTAGCAAGGAGTGGAGTAGAAGATGGAGGTGTGGCTGATCTAAACTATTTCACCTGTTTTCATGTTTCTGCAGGCCTGAATATTTCAAACACAATTAAAAATATATTCTTGGTGCAAAGACTCCTTCTGAAGTAGAAGGAGCTATTTTTCAAAATCCAGCTGAATTTCCAACTCTATTCTGAACATGCAGTAAAGAGTTAAGATTTTTCTTGGATAGCTCTCAGTTCTGTAGGTCAGGTGACACAGTAATTCTGCTATTGTGCTTGCCCCTGTTCTTGGGCTTCCTGCAATTTTTCCTGTCATACACCCTCGATTCCCAAAATTGCTGTGGATCTATTCTCACCTCCTGCCCTGCCTGAAATTCACAGGCTGTATGTGCTAGTGTGAGTCAGCAGTAATTACACTTCATCTGTAGGAAAGACAGTGGTGAAAGAGTTGGAGGTGATTCAGCAGAACACTTTATTGGCAGTATCACTCTGGAAATCACCACACCTGAGTCCTCAGGTTGAGGGCTTCACAGTCACAGGTCATTGTGTAGTAGACAGCCATCCTAAAGAACTTCTGCAGCAATCTGAAATTTGCTATCCCATTATACTTAGACTGCCAATCAGAGCACCGTGGCAGGGCAGGGATAGTGGCTAAGTGCTGTGAGCAATTCCCCATTTGTTCTTCATGTCAAATGTTCTCTCAATTCTCACAAAACACAGCACTGGAGCTGGAATTCATTTGAGTCTGATGAGTCAGAGCACACAGTATTATTCTGGCACAACGGAGGCACTAGCAATTAAACCTTATTCTCCAGTTGTTCTGCCCTTTTAATCACTGCCATTTCTCATGTGTTTCTGACTTACTGGCTGCTTTAAAGGAGATGGAGACAGACAGCTGATCAGGTATCACAGAGATGTGCCATACTGATGTCAGACTAACTGCAGAGCTAAAATCTATTGTCTGATCAAAAATGATTGGATTTTTATTATGAATCCACCATAGGATTATGTTGCCACATTCATTAAAACAAGAGCAAACCAGCACTGCATACCAATATCATAAAAGGAACCAGCAGTTAATTGTGTGATTGGCTTAGTTAATTTTTGTTATAAATTACAGTAATTAGCTGTGTAAACCAAAGTCAAAGTAATTTATTCCAAAATGTAACTATTGCTAATTTCCCCACTGTATGGCTGGGAATAGCTCTTTATGAGGCTGAGGGGGAGTCCTCACTGGACTGGGCTGCACAGAGCAGGCTGCTCTGGGGGATGTGTAAGTCTGCATGTTCCTCTCCAGCCCTGCCAGCACTCCAGCCCTGGCTGTGGTGTCTTCCTTTCTGGTCTCCCCTTCCAAACAGAGCCTAGGAATTATATGATAATTTGTACAAGACAAATCAATAAAGGGTCAACACAAGAACAAGAAACTCCTAGTTTATGGCTTAAGAAATGCAATGCTTAGCATATTTTTCCTGTAAGTATTTTGCAGCAATGACATGTTGTCCTTGCAGTGCTTTATAAGGCCAAGGCAAGATTATCTTTCCTTATCTCCTAAATATGTGTAATACCCTGAACGGCATTTGCAGATGATAATAAAGACAGTGTATTTTATGGATGTTCTAATTTTACAAAACCACATTTCATTATTCATTGATTTAATATATTCTCCAAATATTCTCTTTAAGACTGACTGTATTTTGAACACATGTCAGAACTGAAGTTCTGGGTGTTTAATGTCAACAGAAGAGACTGTGTGAAGGCCAAGTAGGGAAAGATGTGAGTGGAATGAGAGCACTGTGGCCATGGGGGGGGGGGGGGGGGGGGGGGAGTTCACATTCAAGAGCAGATGTGAAAGCTGCTAAGCCTATTACTGGATCTTAAACATGCAACAATTTTTCCTTAAATTCAGAACTGAGACTTCTCTTCCTAAGGGGAGTAAAGGCATTTCAGAAATAATTCTGTAAAAGCTACAAGGTTATGGAAACCATTGAAGTTAGCCAATATGAAAGTGTGTGTTAAGTCTTGCTCCTCTCAATAACTTACTTTGCATTTACTAATTTGTACTTCAAAATTTTCTCTTAATTCACTGCTGCTAAATGCTTTGATGCTTTTGGTTTTCCCTCTTTTTCCTAAAAGCCTGAATTAAAACCTACCCATCTCCTTTCATGATTCCCATTTCTGTCAAATAAAAGAGACAGAAAGAGAGACATAAAGATAGCAGAGAGAGACTAAGATTAAATGGAAATGGGATTTCGGTAGCTTGGCTCTGATAACTCCATCATTTCCTCCCTCTTTGCCCCTCAGGCACTGAACCACAAAGTCCTTCTGCAAGCACAGAGCTATGGAGCTTCTGCTCAGCACTTTTCCTTCCTGCAGGACTCTGACAGCACTGCAGGCATCCAGTGCTGTAAGGAGCATTCAGGCACAGAGCCACTCAATGCCCTCATCACCCACTCAGTGCTGCCCTTCACCAAGAACACACAGAATTCAGAGGGCAATAATAATTCAAACTTGCCTCGTGGAGCACAGGCTCAGGGAGCTCCTGCAGCCACTGATGTCTAACACCCTCACTTTTAGATCCTCACTAGCTACCTCATCACTAGTATGGGACATCCAGTTTGATTCCTTTTCAAATCTGAGAAAGCAAACAAATATTTTCTAGAAGCATCTCCTGCCCACAAGCTAATGTTACCTTTAGATCTAAGTGAAAATTATTGGAAACAGCATTTTCAGGGTATTGCACTATGTGTTATAGTAAAAAAAAAGCTTCCTTGCATACAATAAAAAAAGAATCTATCTTAACTAGCTTATCTTAGTCTACTGTTTAAAGCATTAGCCTGGCTTGCCCTGCCCTATGAACACTTAAGTATTTTTAAATTGTCATTGGATAAAATGCACAAGTAAGTCCTGAAGCTGTCTTATATTCCTCCACTTACCTGCAACAGGAGAAAAATGGCAGAATCCCTCTCTCAAATGCATACAGTATTTACCTTTTCCAGCAAAAAAAACAGACAAAATTTCTTTATATAGTTTTGCAGAATTCCTATACAATTTTTAGTTGTGAAAAATTGATTTTTTTTCAAAGAAACAGTCAACACTGAAGCATGTGTATGAGCTCTTGATAAATACCTTGTTTAAATGTAGTTGAGATGCTACAATAGGAAATAAAACGTAGTCATCTGTTCTAATTTCAGTCATGCTGATGTAGCAAAACATGTATTCGTCAATTCACTTTATCAGAGAGTGCCATAAGGACATGACTACCACATTTCCAAGGAGATCCCACAACAGATCACATTTAAACAATGCTTCAGCTTCATTTTCAATTAACAGGATTTTATTTTTAATTTAAAAATGAGACATGATCTGAAATGTACATACCCTTACTCAAGCTGTGGATTAATGAGGCCCTGTCTCCAGCTGATGCCTCTGTTATGGAGTGTTTTATGCTCACCTTGATGCCTCAGCCTCAAGCACAGCTTTGCCTACTTTTGGTTAGAGCTCTTTTTAGACAGCTGACAGCAAAGGTGAACACACTCGGTATGTTCTTATAGCCTCATTTGCATATTTTTTATATCACGATTCTTTATCTAGGTTATCCCACCTCACCCTTTTTCTGAATAATTGAGCAGTGAGTATACAGCAGAATTGGGTAAAGAAGAAGAAATACCTCAGGAAGAGACTGTACCCCCAGTAGCTTCCCAGGGACCTCCAGGAAGACTGAAGGGAGCTAAAAGCGCACTAAGTCAGGTTTGCACCTTCTGGTTCAGGGTAAGAAGAGCTCAGCTCAGCTCGGAGCTGCTCTCGTTCGTTGTGGCTTTGAGGAGCAGGGTGGAATGCCTTAAGTTAGAAGTTGTTGGTCTGAAGAGCACTTTGGCCTGATTCTATTCCTGACATTCCTGCTTATCCTCCAGACCCTTCCTGAGGTCAGTCTGACTCAGGGACTTACACAGGGGACTACAGGGACAATGCAGACCCGCAGGCTCTTGGGCATCACAGACACATAAGTCTTCACAAACAGAGGAGAAAAGGGGTGTGTGTCTTCTGCCAGACCAGTTTATTGCACAAAGACTACTAAATCCCCAAAATATGCAGGGTCAGGTTGTGGGTTTAAAAGCATAGATATGAAGAGCATGAGAAGGACCCACAATTTTAACTTACTGCAGAGTCAGAAGATAGATGTATTTATAGCCTTAAATCTCAGAAAAACGAAAGGTATGAGGCCTCCTTGTCTGCCCTCTGGACTCCATGTGCTTTTGGGACCTAGCAGTCATATAATATCTCTCAGAATCCAGAACTAAATGAACCTTAAAAAAATACAAGAGCAATTTAAGAGGTGAGGAGAAATGCCAGAAGTGTCAGTGGCAGGCATCATTTCTTACCCCCAGCCCACCAGCTATGCTCAGTGGGAGGTTTTCCTTGCTGGAGCTGCATTAAAAACACTTTGTCCTGGACTTGATTTCCATGAGAAATATTCCACATGCCCATGCCAGAGCTTGGCCCCAAGCTTACATTCCTACTGTCACAAGGTATTCTTATGCTCAACACAACTTGGATTCAACCTGCAAACATAGACAGTTTTAAACTAAAACAGGGTAGATTTAGATGAAATACAAGGAAGAAATTTTTATTATGAGAATGGTGAAACACTGGATCAGGTTCCACAGAGGGGGTAGCTGTCACTGTCCCCAGAGGTATTCAAAAGTTGTGTAGACATGTTGTTAAGGGACATGGTTTAGTGGTGGACTAGATAATGTCATGATTATGGTTGGACTCAACGACCTTAATGGTCATTTCCAACCTAAATAATTCTGATTACTCCTGAAATCCACTGCAGACAGTGAGTTCTGATTGCTCCTTATGCTCCCCCTTTCCTTCTAAAAAATTCCCCTGCATATACCTCAGCTCAGTGCACACAAGTCCAAATTCTTTCTCCACTCCTTTGGATGCTACAAAACAAACAAACAAACAAAAATTCCAAAAAAGGTGTCTATTTTAACAAGGGAGAGAGTTCATGTGAAGACAATATGCTATGCAATAAGAAACACTCAGTCTCTCTACAGAATATCAAGAAAGGACCAGTGAGACAGTAGCATTCAAGAAGTGTTTTATTACAACCCTATGCTAGCCTCATTGCTTCCTGATTGCTTCCTATGCTTCCTCATTGCATCTTTGTGGGTAGTTCTCCAAACTACTTCTACTATTCCACCCAGTGGCTTCAATATATTCCATATAAAGCAGTTATATTTGGAAAAGCTGCAGTCAATACCATATGATGCCATCACTGATTTATGTGCACAGCAGCAACAATGAGTAATGAAGTTAAAAAAGCAAAAAGAGAGGTCTATCTAGCAGATGGGAAAAACACAAGAATAAACATTCTGTCAAAAATGCAGATTCAACTAACTACCAAACCCAGCAGAATTTGGCTTTATTTGGGTTAACTAAGTAAATTTGCTCAGAATGTTGTTAAACTATCATGATATTAAGGCACAGAGCAAGGCCAAGGAGAGTGGAACATAATCTGGATATCAGAGGATGAGGATATCAAAAAGGCAGTAGCTCTGTTGCACTTTGCCCTCATCACATAAATTTATAAATCCTTCTAGAAGAGCTGCCCTTTCCCACAATCCATGCTACTAAAACTAGATGCAGCAGTGGTATTTGTGTGCACAAAGCCTCAGCTACTGTTCCCCACATCATACCTTCCCATTTCGTATGAAATTGCTTTTATTTCAGGAAACTGGGCTCAAACTCAGGGAAAAAAGTACAATAATGTAAGTGCATAAAATAATGAACCATCTTAATGGGACTGGCAAATTTGGCAAGTAACTTCTCATTAACAAGGTTTTGGGTCAACTGGGTTCCTGTTTTCTGCACCAGGATAGGAAATATTAGTTTCATAATACTTTTGTATTGGGGAATGTGGCTTCATTATCCCTGGGGAATCCAGTGCCCTTGCCAGGAGCGGCTTGGGTAAAGATTCTGAAACTCAGCAACTCCCTTACTTCCCATATCCAAGAACTTTGAACCTGATCACAGATGGGTAACCCCTCCTTTTGATCAGAAAATGACAGTCACAGGCTTTACTCTGTGATAATAAAAGATGATTTTTAAGTGGATAGCCCTGCTGCACAATCCATTGCAATCTGAAAATGAAATGGAAAGATTATGAGGAGCATGGTTTTCTTGTATACACAGCTTCTGTACAGAACTAACATTTAATTATATCTTTTGTGCTAAAAAGACTTGAAAGTAGCTTCCAACTGCAATTATAACCTGTGGATGGCAGAACATATTTCCAGAGATAATAATCTGCTCTGGGCAGATTGTGAGATTTATATGGCCTGAGACCAAGGTAGAAGTTTAGAAACACTTAGAGAAATAATTTTTACCATGATGATTTCTCAACAACCCTAAATCAATCCAGCTGTAAGGCACATTTGCCCTGCCATCCTCCACTACCTTTATATTTCCTGCCTTCTGCTGGACCTGTGGAATCAGACAGTGACAGGAGCAGGGCACTGTAAAACACAGCTGTAAACCAGGCTCTTCCTCATCTGCATTCAGCAGACCAATGGTTTTGGTTGCAGCAGTGCTTTTGAGCCATGTACAATCCCAGCAGTTCTTAGAATGCTGTAAATGAATAACCTGCAGCAGCTCAGGAGGGTGGGGGCTGCAGCGTGCCCACCCTCCAGCCCTGTGTGGTCCCTGGTGCCCAGAGCCCTGTGCCCACCGAGGGACTCCCAGCCTGGGCCAGAAGCCCTCTGCACGACTGGGGGCAGGGCTGGAGGACCTCTCTGTTTGCTGCCAGCTATAATCTCTGGGCCTGAGCAAATTTTCTAACCTGAAAATTCACAATGAATAGAGTGTTATAAAAAAAATATGGCATGCAATTCATATAAGCAGGTTTAACCAGAAACAAAAGCTGAATACTATATGAATGAGGAAATTTTGGTCACAGGAGACTGTATAGCACTTTTCTCAAATATGCATTTGTTGGCTATGGCTGTCTCAGTCTATCAATGCAACATTTTCTAAATTAGGAGGGATTTATATAAACAGAGCATGGTCTCTAAGGTGCTGTTTATGGTCTGTCTGGTATAAATATTTATGATCATTCTAAAATTAGTGGTTTTTCTAAATTGTGCTTTTGTTTAATACAGCTTCTGACAGTCTCTGTGGTAAATCTGCAGTTTTGTTTTTTATGAGAGAAACAGAAGCAACAGAGAATCCCACTGCAAATACTGCTACAAAGGTGGTTAATCAATGGAGGGCCGTTCTCAGCTGTCAACTGCAGACTCTCTGCTGTCTGAGAAGAATTCCCTCCTACACACTTTTCCCCAGGGCATGCAATCCTTTTCCTACGTGCCATGCAAACCTATCCATGCCATGCAGGAATATATATATAGGAACAGAGGGCTGGAAGGAAGTGCTGGAGCTGCTGCCTCCTCCAATAGAACACGTGTGATCACACGGGGTGCATCTGCTTACTCAGATCTGGTGTCAGAATGAGAATTCATGTCCTCTCTGCAGAAATAAAAATAAACTGAGTTCAGACTGAGTTCAACAACCTAAGGTTGCATATCAGCAGTTACCAAGCTTCCCGGGAGGTGAGGCATTTTTCAAGTTACCACTAAGAAGAAAGAAACCAGATAAAAGCCTGGTGCATGATGAGGGGCATGGTGCTCACAGTGACGTGACTCATAGTCATTGGTCGTGACTTCAGTGGGCTTTTGTGAGCCATGACTACAGCATCTTTTAGCAGGATTTCCTTGAGTCACTGGCCTGTCTATTACAGATCTATAGATCTGTGGAACCTGAGCAAGTTTATAGAATAGAGTGTTCTGTTCGTGTACTGCATTATGAATTGTAAAGTGCAACTGTGGGTAGACTGTCAATTCATTTCTATCTTAATCTCTCTTTTGAATAACAAAGCTGTACTAAAATGTTGTAACTATCTCATTGCCAGATCTTGCAAGTAAAATCTGCTCTTGGTCTAGAATCACCAAATAAGAAAATAAATGACTGAAAATTATTATGAACTTCCAAGCCTCTCACCAAATTCAGTCATCCAAACAGTGTCCCTTATTCCTCTGCCTCTTTCCATTCTCACTATTCTCCCTTGTTACACAACTAGGAACATGGATTTCAGAACAAGAGTTCAGCAAGTTTTCTATGATCCCCCATTTGAACCACTTCAGCAAATCTCAAACACAGAAAAAAATTTGAATTAATTTATAACAATTTACTAGGAAGATGGAAAACTGGCAAACTGTAAAGAGGACAATCCACTGCTATAATTCAACCTGCACAAGCTGACAAGATGAATGATTAATGTACTTTTGCAAATGGGAATGAATTTGTCCAAACTTGGAGAAGCCAGGCAGCAGTCATTGAAAGGGAAAGAAATGAGTTCTAAAAAGAATTTGAGGTCACAGGGAATAATTAACTGAACACTGCATTATTGTTGATACATACCTGATAGTTGTGGTGAGAAGGAAAGAAGAACTAATCACACTCTCCTCTGCAGTGACAGGACCAGAGGCAATGGACAAAACCTGGAACATAGAAAATTCTCCTTAAACATAAGAGAACACTTTTTCATTGGGGTGTAGTGAAACACTGCAACAGATTACCCAGAGCGATTCTGGAGTATTCACCCTTGAAGATATTCAAAGCTGGACCAGGCAGAGAGCCCTGGACACCAGCCCTGGCTACAGCTGCTCTGAGCAGAGGAATTGGACTTGACAGCTTCCAGAGGTCCCTGCCAATATCCACCTCTTGTGGTTCTTCATTACCTACATAGAGATCAGAAATGTGAGAACAGAAAGAGCAGAAATTTATCTGTGGGACAAGATTCAAGAAATAGGAGCTGATAATAAATGCTTGAAGTTAATTGCAAAGTTTTGACCATTTGACTTGCTGCAGCAATTTGATAAGGACTATTGTGAACATTCTAACAATACCAATTTTAAAATCAAATTAGATTTTATTCTAAATATAGTGATGGGACAAAGGGGAATGGCTTTAAACAGGAGGAGGGTCTTTTAGTTAATGTTTTTTTTCTATATGAAGTATATTCTTATACTTCATAAAACACATTCCTGAATGGGATCTATGTCCCAGTGAATTTAAGTATCTTGGTGCATCTTTCAGGTAATGATTTTCATTACATTCTTCTGGCCTCAGAAAATGGAAAAAAATGCAGAATATATTATTTTGCATAGCATTGTCACCAGGTAGAAAAATCCTCCAGTGAGAAGACCAGTGCATATGCTTTTTGAACATCACAAATATATTTTTAAAGAAATAAAAACATATTTGTAAATGTAAATATAGCAAAAGAAAGCCCTATATGAGCAATATTTCTCCATGGGTTGCCCTGCAGGATTGGTCTTTGCAGGGAGCAAGTATTGGTGTATCTCTTAAGCTGAGGTTTTAAAAAGTTTTTAAGAAAAATTCTCCCAAAGTACAGCTGTAACCATGATGCCCAACTTCAGTAATACTTGTAAATTTGTGTAAGATGTGCTTACTTCAGTCTGACTACAGAGTATGGTCAGAAGGATAGGCACAGAGCTGGAGCTCACGAAGATCTTTTGTATTCCGAGCTAGCTCAGAGCATGGGAGCACAAGCACCTGAGCAGCACAATTTCTAGCTCACTGTGTCACTGGGACAGCTGCAGTGCTCGCAGTGCATGGCACATGAACAGAGTGCCTGAAGAGCCTGCCTCACTTCAGACTTTTATCTTGCTGATTGGGTCTGTGCAGCCTCTTGTCCAGCTATAGTGTGCTGCAAACTTTCAGGTTACAGCACCCATTTTGCTGCATGTTCAGCTTCTGTTAAAAGCAGAAAATCCTTCCCATTTTTCCCTTTGACTGTGGCAATTTTCAGAAGTGAAGGTGGTACAGCTTGTCATCATTATCTGCAGGATGGTTGGGTAGTGACAGCCAAGGCTCCACACTGATGTGAGACCGACTGAGAGAGAGCTGGGGGCTGGTTCTTGCAGCCTTCTGTCAGGCAGCCAGACCAAATCCCTTCCGACACAAAGAGGGCATTTTTAGAATAACTAACGTTCAGCCAGTGACAAGCTAGACAAAGTGATGTGTTTCAGAAAATTGATGCTCAGGAAGGAAGATTTGAGATATCAGGGAAAGAGGATTCTCAGCTTTACAGAGACATTTTAAATATGTGCTAAATCTTTTCAAAATGAAAAGAAGTAAAAGTAAGTTGGCTAAAACCACCAAGTATGTTTGACCTTTCTTTCCTATAAGAAAAATCTTAGAGTTGAGCTAACTCATATGAAAAGATCTTGCCCCCCTCTGGTATGTTACTCCTTTCTAGATATGGGGAAGATGCCATTTGTAATTTATGTGATTCCAGATGCCATTTATAATTTATGTGTGCCTTTCACCCTAATCAAGAGACCTGCCCACGAGATGGGACTGCATGGTAGATCCACCTCCCCACAGAAAGCAAAGCTGTGCCTTGCCAATGCCTTGGAGCACTCTGGAACAGACCTCTGAATCTGCAATAACCAGGGCTCAGAAATGCCCAAGGCATCTCACCAGCCTTCCCCTCTACCTTTCAACTCAACTTTGCTTAACAGAAAACCAAACAAAGATGTCACAGACACACAAAGAGAAATACAAGGAGCGTTTCTGGCAGTTACAATTGCAGGGAGTCCCAGATCCCTTCCTCCCCACCCCAAGACTCCCCAGCCCCCAGGAAAAATGGAGAGGCTGCAGCAGAAAGGGTCCAACTCGCTCTCTCATGTGAGCAAATTTTACAATACCCACTGTGAGTAAGTTAAATACCAATATTATTTGCTGGGACAGGTGCTTTGTTTAAGTGTTTCATTCACAGAGTTCATTTTGTAAAATAAGTGCAAATAAGCACAGCCATTTCTTTTTTAATCTTAATCTGATGACGGGCAGAGTCTGTACCAGTTTCCTGGGCTGCTGAACAGTGGGTCACCTGCCCAGCACAGTGTTAAAGAAGTTACTCAAAACTTGTACAAAATGATTGTTTTTGGTGTTCTTTTAAATTTTTTCATTCCTTCAAGGAGAGGAGAGGAGTGGAGAGGAGATGAAAAAGAAAAATAATTGCTAATTTATAAGGTTTTTCAAAATGTAATTTTTCAAAATGCACCAGCATCTTACAATCCATTAAAGATGAAATAATTCAAATTTTGTACTAAAAAAGTTGCATTTAAGCCCTATGGGAGATGACATTTTTTGATCAGCCTCCATGTGTTTACTAATGTGCAGATGTCTAAAAATATGTATTTACCAATCAGATGTTACCCAGGTTAAATAGATCAGATAGAAACTGTTACATCTGTTAAAATTTAACAGTCTCCTTCTAGCTTGCATGGCTGCAGACTCTGAAGCCATGGCCAGAATCAAGTAGGAGTTCTCTGGCACTCACCTGATTTGAGCACAGTTAGAGGGTAACCTTTGAAGGACTGCCAATACAAATGATCCTTCCTGATAACATCTGCCTTGAGCATGATGAAATGGCTCTTGGATCCAATTCACTAAAAAATTCTGTACTCTGAGCACCTTTCAAGATAAAAAACCCACAAAAATGATCAACAAAAATGCCATGGAATTTCAATGAAAGTTTACTCTAATGATAGGTCTAGATTAGACCTAAAATTGGATTGCCAAAGCACTTTTCATGTTTTACTAAATAAAGATATTTACTCTATAATGATGCTAATTAATAAGTGTCTGATGGGTTGATTTGGAGACTTCATGATGGGACAGAACAGTCAACAGCAGAGTCTTTTCTCATTTAGTTTGCAGGTGCTGTTGAAATCAGACCTCTGCCACAGCTCTTCTAGGATGAATTTAGAGCAATGAAGGCTGTTTGCAAAACCAGTTAGTTTTGCTTGCTGGAGCTGGGATGTAAAGACACTGGTATTCTCATTCCCTCTTCTCCCTCCTTTCCCCAACACAGTAGTACCATTTATTAATAATTTATTAATTTATTAATCCAGCTTATGCTGAAAGTGCCACAGAGCTCAGATGTGGACAACTACAGCTATGCAATAGAGAATTTTAGCTCACACTGAACTTCCCAAGTCTCTTCTAGGCAGTACTTTGACAAATGACAGCCTGAATGTGCCCTGTCATATCTTGCTTGGTATCTGGGAAGGTGAAGGGAAACACTAGGTACACCTTTTTGGTCCATTATTCTTATTGTTTCTTCCAATATACAGGTTTAAGAAGGCTTTGTCTGGAAGCTCAGTAAAACCATTTATCTTCAATTGTGGCAGGATTTCCTAGACTTCTGAAGGTTGATCCTCCCGCTTCAGGAAAAGGAGCAAGGTCAGGCACTTGGCAGATTTCCTGTGTGCCCTGCGTGCTTCCTCCCCATCCCCATCCTGACCCTCTTTAGATAACCCTGAGGCATGTCACCATTGCCTTGGGCTTTGTTTTTCAAAAACACCACCTCAGATTGTCCTTCAAAAAATGACCCCCCTGACAGTTTCTCTTTAATGCCAGTATTTTAAGAGGTTTGTTGCCACTGTGTATGTCAGTATTCACCTCGATACACTTTGTTTGACACAGATTTCTCCTGCTATCCTATTAGCAAAGTATTATGACATTTAAATCCAATTATCATTAATTCAAAAGACAGTCAGCAGTGAAAGCTCTTCTGTGGCTTTAGAGGCTGGAAATAAGTGTCACTGTTTGAACTTTATGTTTATTTTTTTATAATTAGGTGCTGACTTTATTCCCAGGATGGAGAGCATGAGCTCCTCTAGTTCAGACACAGGGTCCCTAGACATCACCAAAATGTTACAGGGATCTCTGAAGCCCTGCAGCAAATTTCATACTCTGAGGGAGATGCCATTCTGCCATTCCAGCAGAATGAAGAACCTCTGATTTCAGTAAATTAATAGCTACCACCAAATTGTGTTAACACATACATAGTGCTTCAATTCCATCTAGTTCAAAAGCACATGTAAACTTGGATTTTAGGGTAGGACACTCAAAAAGTTGATGTAGGCATGTAAGTAGGTGGTAATAAAGCTGTAAACATTTGTTGTGACCTCTGCAGCAGAAAGCAGAGACGACTTGTCTGGTTATGGGAGAAATACAACTCCTGACAAAATCCTGTGCCATATATGAACTGCATGAAATAGTTCTGAAATGTGAGAACCTTCTTTTTCTTAATATATTAGAGCAGCACTCTAGCACCCTGGCGCCTTGCTTGACCCAGGAATCACAGAAGTTGAGGCTGGCTGCAAGTTTGTGATATTATTATGCTGTCTCACAGACTCAGGACATTATCCTATTTGCCCTCTGCATGAAGAAACAAAACAGTCCTGAGATTATGTTGGTTGTAGCAAAAACAACCATCATATATAGAGACATTGCTGGCTGCACTTAATCTGCCAGTGCAACACTAATAGTGCTGGAGACTATTGTCCTGGGGAAAACTTTCTTTGGAAATATAAGCACCCTTCTGCTTAAACATGGTGAAGATTTTGGTAAATAATGATTCCATGCATAAATGAAGTCTGATGTTTTAATAATACCTTTAAAGAAGATGAATATGGCTCAGTCTTGGGGGAAGGTGATCAAGAACAACGTATTTCTTATGAGGGAAAGTGGGCTGCCCTAATACTGATCAGCATAATTCTTTATTGATGCTACCAGCTTTCAACAACCGACTAGAAGTCGTGGGTTTAGTACCCCTCAAGCATAAAAGCATCTGTGCCACATTCTTTCAAGAAATTGCAAAGGATGCCCAGAAACACAAAGTTTGTTTCTTAGGCTGCGATGA